ACTATTTTACGGGTTTGAAAGCCGTCGAATTTCTTTCTGACGTTTCGGTGCCGCTTGTGGCTAGCTTCTTCATCCTGAGTAATCCCCGATAACTGGATATTACGGCTGCGTGGGTTTTCGGTACACTGTGTTAGTTAGTCTAGTACTCAAAAAGTGTACCATAAACCCACGCACTATCGAACCACCATTCAAGTCAAATGAGAGGAGTCATCTCTACTCTAACTGAACGGGCTTAAAGAATATGTGAACCAGAGCATCCCAAGGAAAAACTGGACCGTCTTCAAGTGATCTTGAGATCGAATGGATACTGTGAATCCGAGATTAACAAGGCCTTGAAACTGAAGAGTTTCACGATTCAAAATGGGAAGGAGGCTCAGATAGTTGCACTGCGCATTCACCATATATCTCTAGGGTCACAAACAGAATTGGAAAACTCTTGGGAAAAAAACAACATTAAAACGGTTTTCAAACCCACCAAGAAAATACAACAAAGTCTCAGTTCGGCTAGAGAAAGAGAGACCCACTATCAGCACCAGGGGTGTATCGCAAACCATGTACTTGTGGGAAGGTATACAAGATCCATGTGAACAAGGCTGAAGGAGCATGAAAAAACTGCAGACCAGACCCAAAGGACAAGTCGATTGTGACGGAACACGCTCTCAGTGAAAGAAACCACAAGATTCTGTTCGAAAACGCGAAACTCATTTCCTTCAACCAGAAATATCATAGCCGACTGTTACGGGAGGCAATACAGATCCACAAACACACAGATAATTCCAACAGAAAAGAAGAAGCTGTGAACCTCAACCGAATACGGAATCACATTCTTAGAAATTCAACCATAGCAAACAACATGATTGGGTCAACATGAACACGCTTTACGCAGCCGTAAAGTCATCAGTATTGGGTTTATCAATAAAACATTAAATAGGAATGACCCTGTACTCATTTTATTCTAATATAACTATATAATGAATCATATCTGTACTCGAATGACTAAATTATTATGATATATATTAGTGAGTTGATTATGAGCATTCATAAAGATAGCGTATATAGCTGAATACAACTGAGTCTACGTAAACGGGTCGTTTTAATTTGATGCCCTATCCTAACAATCGGAGATTAATCACGATGCCGATGAATAAACCTCTGAAGAAGCTAGCCACTCGCGCTAGGGAAATGTCAGGAATAAATTCCAAAAATACTTAAACCCGGAGAATAGTGACACTGAAAACCTCGGTCGCGAAAGCCTTAACAATTTTTGTTTGAAGGTAGCTGCAGGGCCGTTGCCATTGGGGGGAGGGAAGCTTCCCCCCCTGGTTTATCGACTTGGGAAAAAGTTGGGAAATTTTGGGCCGTGAAGATAGAAAAAAATAATAATTAAAAAAAATGAATAAAAATTTAAAAAATAATATGAGAGAAGAGAATGGGAGAGGTAATAAGAAAAGGGAAAGAACCAGGACAAGGTTGGCATTTCCCAGCATGCATAACTTGGAGATCCCATACTTTGAAATTCTGAGTTGTTTGAGAAGTTCAAAAAAGTTTAATTTCTCCCAAGTACGAGAACAGTCCTGAACAATCCACAAAGTTTGAAGTGACAATTTTACAAAATTCCCAACTTTTCGCTATTTGAATTTCACTAATTCGTACTTCCGTTGTCTACTATATAAAATGATTTGAAATCCCTGAAACAACTAAAAAAGAAGAATTGAAAATGAATAGCTGAAAATAACATTTATATCAACCAAAATAAACCTGAAATGAAATGATAGTGAAATAAAATACATGTAAAAATAGAACAATTGAATAAATANTCATTCACCTTCAAACAAACGTTTTCCCTATTTATTCGACTTGGAAAAGTTGGGAAATTTCGGGCCGTGAAGATAGAAAAAATAATAGTAGAAAAAAATAAGCACAATATTATTTAAGTTTTGGGAAAGAAAGTTTTTGGCTTTTTACTACTCCATCTTGATACAAAAAAAGGGGATGAGGGACTCTTTCAAAGAAAGGAAGGAAGTAATCAATTTGAAAGATTCCCTCACCCCTTTTTTTTATCAAGATGGAGTAGTAGAAAGCCAAAAACGTTCTTTCTCAAAAAATTAATCACTCCTAAAAATATAACCCCTTCAATTCAAATGATTTAAGTGTTGTTTCCTTTCATTTGTATTGAATATTCCTATATATGGTGGATATGGTGGAAGACCAAGGACCTTGGTCCAAAGTAGAATAATTTCCATTATTATTTTCATAATTACCAAAATTAATGTTTGTTTGTGCGTACCCTAAGGGGCATAAGCATTCAGCCAATCTTTGGATAGCTAAATAAGAAAATTAATATATTATAGAAGTAACTAATCCCTCGGCTTTCATTTTTTCGAAAGTTTCACCTAAATCGGTATCTGTGTGTCTGTTTTCAAATTTTGCAAGTTAAATTTGACACACTTTTAATCATCCGATTGATTTGAAATTTGATAAGTGTGAATAATTCCGATTAAAATACATTATGAAATTTTTGTTAGAAAAAAAAACAAAACAAAATGGCAGCTCCATTATGGCGGACAACTTTTGTGATTATGGTCCAATTCTATTCAAAATTGGTATCTGGCGGGTTTTCAGGGTCGGAGATTTTTTATTTAGTTTTACCTGTTTCGGTGTCTGACTGTGTCCACATACTCCACCTTGTGTGACTTTCATAATAAATAACCATCATTTCGTGTGTTTTCTTTAATAAATTTTAGAGTAGTAAAAAGTTATTTTCAAAATTCAATATCTCGAAAACGGTTGAATTTAGGAAATGATGTGCTATATCAATTTTGTTCAGAATTTCAATCAGAATGAAAATATGGAATAATACATCAGGTGTTCTATTGAAGAAAAAGCAACTTTATTTCTTCAAAACTTTTTGACTTATTCTGTTAACCTAATTTTTATTCAGTGTGGTAGATTTGGAAACACCCTAAAACTTCTGTATTTTAATATTTTTGGGTAGCTATCTTACTTTAAGAGATAATCGACTGTTTCCATACATATCAGCGACCCTTTATAAAAAAAATTGATGCAACAGTCATTGATAATCATCAACTGGTAATAATTATTTTTCAATATTCAGCAAAGTGGTGGTGGTGATGGTGACAGGCGTGGTTGAAGAACTTGAGCAAGGCAATCAAATTACCCTAAAGCTTTGCGATCTAACCAAAACTGTGCCTTACATGAAATACTGTTGAGAAAATTAGGGATTACAGGTAGTTCGCTTCATTAAATAAAAACCTATCTAAGAAACTGCCAACAACTAGTAGGTAATGTTCATAGTACTCTGTCAAACTTCCAAACTGTCAAAAACAGCTTTCCAAAAGGGTCTGTTTTGGTGGTCCAATTAGATAAGGGTGACAAGAAGAACCATATATCATTATTCGTTTGCACAACTTTTACATGAGGATAGTTGTTGAATTTTTTTGTAATATTGATTTACTTGAGAGTAGTACTCTTGCAGAATAATAGATCCACTGAAAGTGGATCTATTATTCTGCAAGAACATCCCACAAGATGTAAACAATGGATAATCCATCAGGTTTCTTACCTGAATGGATAGATAGACCTCTTGGAGGATAAAAATTTTGAGTTCTCGATCTGCTTCAGTAAAAAATTTAACTTATATATTGTATGCCTTTACCGATCTCCCTCTTCAGACGATAATATATTTATAAATAACTTAGAAATATTACTTTCTGATTT